GTAAGAATAAGAATAAGAATATTTTACTGTATACATATATTTATCTTAAAATCTAATGAATGATGTATGGTCCTTGCAGACTTGTACAGAGGATGTTGTAAAAGATTTGGTTGGACAGACATCCGGTTTCATGCCAAGGGATATTAGGGCTTTAGTTGCTGATGCTAGTTCAAGTTTGATTCCTCTTAGTATTAATGGCAGTAGCTTTGAGAAGTTGGGTGACAGCAAAGAATTCATGGTCAAAGCTTTGGAGCGGTCAAAGAAAAGGAATGCATCGGCTTTGGGGACTCCCAAGGTGTGTAAAATAAAAAAATGGTTGGTGGCATGGCATCTATTCTACAGGGTACTAAGTTTGAGTTGTTTGTGTGTGTGTGTGTGTGTAGGTCCCTAATGTTAAGTGGGAGGATGTTGGTGGGCTGGAAGATGTGAAAAAATCTATACTTGATACAGTTCAGGTACGTAGGAATGGAATCTTGAATTCCAGTTGCTTATTGTAAGCTTTGGCATAAGTTGTGGCTTATTCGTAATGCATTTACAGCTCCCTCTTCTGCATAAAGATTTGTTTTCATCTGGTCTGCGTAAGCGCTCTGGTGTTCTTCTCTACGGTCCTCCTGGTACAGGGAAAGTATGTTAATGTTTTATCATCATTTATTTTGTGAATTATGCCTGTCTATGTCCTATAAATAAATATTAAAAATTTATAATAATAATAATAATAATCTTTTTTTCACAGACGTTGCTGGCCAAAGCTGTTGCAACCGAATGTTCTCTTAATTTCTTAAGTGTCAAAGGGCCCGAATTAATCAACATGTACATTGGAGAGTCAGAGAAAAATGTACGCGACATATTTCAGAAGGTAAATTCTTCTATCCAATAATACGTCTAGTTGGTAAATAGATAAATAAATAAATAAATCATGACTCATGAGAATGGAATGCAGGCTCGAGCAGCCCGTCCATGTGTGATCTTCTTTGATGAACTCGATTCTCTTGCTCCAGCCAGAGGTGCTTCCGGTGATTCTGGTGGAGTTATGGATCGTGTAGTTTCTCAGGTGAATTCTTACTTTCATTATAATTTTATAGGCATGGAACCCTTTTCTCTTGCCATCAACATGGGACTTTCAGTCAAGTTATCTCTTCAACTGTTGATGCTTATTTTGGTTTTGTGTTATCAGATGCTTGCAGAGATCGATGGCCTGAATGATTCATCCCAAGTATGCTGCTAATAGTTCATAGTACCTGTTTTCTTCATCATGATTTATCAAATTTTAATATTTTAGGACTTATTCATAATTGGAGCAAGCAATAGACCAGATCTTATAGATGCAGCACTTTTAAGGCCTGGTCGTTTTGATAAGCTACTTTATGTTGGAGTCAATTCAGACCCATCTTATCGGGAGAGGTTGCTTGCTTGCTTATATTTCTTTTAAACAATCTGAATCTCATAAAGATTTCCACACTGAATCCTAAAATTTTTAGGGTTCTAAAAGCACTGACCAGGAAATTTAAGTTGCATGAAGACGTGTCTCTTTATGAAATAGCAAAGAAATGTCCCCCAAATTTTACTGGTGCAGATATGTATGCCTTGTGTGCAGATGCTTGGTTCCATGCTGCAAGGCGCAAGGTCAGATTTCTTACCTTATTCCCTTATTTATATCCAGACTTTGAACTTTCAACTGCTTTTTTGTACAATAAATAGCTAAGATAAGAAGCGCAAATATGTAAAAGATTCATGTGTAAAAACATTAAGTGAAGTTCTTGTTAAGTCATATTGTCTATATTAACTGAAAAAGAAACAGTCATGTATAGCTGTCTAGATTAAGTGCATAACCCATTAATTAAAAAAAAAAAAAACTGTCTTCTTAATTGTAGGTTTTAGACGCTGATGCAGACACAGCTTCCATGAAGGATGAAGTCGATTCTGTGGTTGTTGAATATGAAGATTTTGTGATGGTATGTTTATCAATGTCAAAAGATTTGGGTTGGGTTGACCCAACATAGCTTTTTTGTTTTTTAATTTCGTAAATAACTAATGTATAATGTGAATACAAAAATCAACATGTTAAGTTAAAAACCAATATTAGATTAGTAATCCGATTCTTCTGAATTTTGCAGGTGTTAGTAGAGCTCTCTCCCTCACTTTCTCTAGCCGAGCTCAGAAAATATGAGTTACTCAGAGATCAATTTCAAGGAACCGGTACCTCTTCAAAATAGAAGTCCAAGTCTATTTTAAAATTATGTATGTATATTATTGCATTAAAGCTTTTTGTAAAGTTTTTTTTTTTTTTTTTTTTTTTTTTTTGGAAATGGTGGAATTATATTAAAAACCACTGCCTAAAAAGGCAAAGGCAAAAGGCAAGGCAAAGAGAAAACAAAAAAAAATTACAAAATGTTGAAAGGATAAACACACCAATCAGACCAAATACAATTTATATGTTTTACCCAACTAAACACCATGATGATGATATTATCCGTCAATTTCAAAGAAGAGATACACGTTTTATTGAAATTCTTGTCATTCCGAGCTTGCCAAACACCCCATAAATAACCGTAAATGATGGCAAGGAAAAGCTTTCACTTTTTTAGGTAGTTTCCCCAATGAGCAGCAAAGTTAACCAACCGATCCATCAATGAAGCAAGATTAAAGGAAATATTGCACCACTTAAAGATCTTGTTCAAAGTCTCGGGAGCAAAAGTGCAACCAAGGAAAACGCGCTCCGTTTCATCAATTACAGCTACAACAAGAAGTAATTGAAACTCTAACACCTCTATGAGAAAGTGTCATCACAGAGGGAATGCGATCCAAGCAAGCACTCCACGTGAAACATATGACTTTTAAAGGAACCAATTTGATCCAAACAGTGGAGTTATTCATCGAAATAGTGAGTCTCAAGTCAATTAGACTATGAAGATCACTCACATAAAATTCCCCATCTGAAGAGAGATTCGATCTCCAAATATCACTTCCGTAAGAAACAACTGTAGACTCCAAACAATTTTTTGAAGCGATTAACTCAACAATCTTGAATTGAATACTCGGAGCTCTTTTCCAAGCCCAATTAATCGAGTCAATACCCAATATCTCCGAAACAAGGCAAAAAAATTTCTTGTCCAACACATATAATGAGCGAGATTATTTTTTCCAATCCAATTGTCATGCCAAAAGAGAGTGCCTACATCGGAATTGACATTAATATCAAAAGGAGAGTTAAAATCAATACATGTACTCTTGAATGACCCTCGAAATATTGTACCAAACACCGGGGAATGATTTTTTTTGCCATTGACTTCACCAGTTTCCTGTCAAGGTTATGGATTCCACAAATGACCCGTCTCCATAAGGAATTATGATCGACCTTATATCGCCAAATCCATTTGATAAGGAGTGCCCAGTTTAAGGAGCACAAGAACCAACTCCCAAGCCTCATTTTTCTTTGTCACCTAAAATGGCTTTCCTAGCAACCTAGTTTATCTTGTTTTTCTCATCACTGCCTCCCCCAAAAAACCGTCTTCTAAACTTATCTAAAAGATCAATAATCGAACTTGGGGCTTTAAACAGGGAAAAGAAATACAAAGGAAGACTCCCAAGAACCGACTTCACGAGAGTTAATCTCCCCCCAAAAGAAAGAGTCTTTGCCTTCCAAGAAGAAAGGCGATTGTGAACCCTCTCAATAACAGGCATCCAATTTCTCCTAAGAGCCATGTTAGCTCCAACCGGAACCCCTAAATACTTGAAAGGAAGGGATCCCACATCACAACCGAGAATCTGAGCACAATTCAAAACCTCGTTATCCGAAACGCCAACACCAAAAACATTTGACTTATGAAAGTTAACTTTTAGACCGGAAGTTGCATGAAAACACCTTAAAATACGGGCTAAATTTGCAAAGTTGGAACTTGACCAATTACCCAAAAAAAGGGCATCGTCAGCGTAAAAGAGATGAGACAGCAGAGGACCACCATTTGAAGATTGAATACCATGAAAAAGAGATTTATGACAAGCAGATATTTATGCAACATTGAGACCCTCCATGGAAATAATGAACAAAAAGGCGAGAGGGGATCACCTTGACGGACACCTTTCGTAATAGGAAATTCCTTAATGGCCGAAAAATTTATTAGAACTGAGGCTCTGGCAGATGAGAGACACTCCTTGATCCAAAATCGCCATTTATCACTAAAGCCCATTTAAGACATCACCACATCCAAAAACAACCAATTTATGGAATCGAAAGTCTTATCAACGTCGACCTTCAACAGGAACATTTTGTTTTTGGTCCTCTTAACCCAAGTCACCACCTCACTAATGATCAAGGGACCATCAAGAATATTACGTCCCTCAATGAAAGTCGATTGGACATCATCAATCAAATAACTAATCACCTTCTTTAATCTAGACGCAAGGACCTTCACAATGATTTTATAGACACATCCGATGAGACCAATGGGCCTATAATCACTCAAGGAAAGTGGATCTTTGACTTTGGGAAGTAATGTAATAAAAGAAGAGTTGTTGCCTTTGGAAAGACCCCCAACTCTTTCAAAATGCTTAACAAACCGCATGATATCATCTTGCATGATAGGTCAATAATGCTTAATGAATTTAAAGGGAAAAACCATTCGGTCTCGGTGCCTTTTCATTCCCACAATTCCAAATGACATCTTTAACTTCCTTTAGCTCAAAAGGCGATTCCAACCAGATCCTATCAGTATCTCTGACAACCTCCTAAAACTTTCATTAGTAAAAGAAGGCCTATTGGAACGAGTTTCGTGGAATTTTGCTTCAAAGAAATTAACGACTTCCGCCTTGATAGTCCCAACATCAGTGACTCAATTGCCATTAATCATCAACCCGTTTATAAGGGTTTTCCTGTTTTTTATTTTTTATTTTGAGTGAGCTATGAAAAAAACTAGAGTTTTCATCCCCATCGCTTAGCCATTTAACTTTAGTTTTTTTTGAATTAAATTAGACTTTTTTGGATTCTCCAACTCGATAATTTTAATTTTGCCCTCTTTTAGTTTGGAAATCTCCGAATTACTCAGTTGCCTTTTCCCAGCTTCCAAAACAAGATCATGTATCAACTTTTTAAGATCAACTAAGCCTTGTTTTCCTTCTTAAATTCAACCCTTCTCCAATTCTTAATGGCATTTTTAACAAATTTTAACAGGGCCGGTCCTGAGGATTTAAATGCTCAGGACGAGTCGGAAAAAAAGGCCCTTATGCCCTAACGTTTAATGAATTAATTATATAAACTAAAGTTTTCTTTTAAAACGACGATAAACTTTATAGCAATAAACATAGAAAAATCATAGTATTTTAACGAGTAATAGCATATCGTAATATCTAACCGACAACCCGTGTACGAAAAATGAAAAT